TTGTGCATGCGCCGGTGAGTCTCGTGAAAACCAACGTTTGTTAACAGGAGCAAAGGAAGCAAAGTTTCCTTACTTTAGCAAAGGAAAACCAGTCTCCTCTTGGCTTATATCGAAATCCTCCGACATTCTTCTTTACAAATCCTCGTTTTGTACTTCTAATTCTTGACCGTTGTTTTGTTTTGATCTCTCCGCTGCGTTTCCGCATTCGTCACTTCTGAGCAGCGCATGCGCAACGCCGACCTCATACGCCATCCGCACGGAGCTGCTTCCAGTGTACAACAGTGAGCGCAAGCTACATTAAAGTGATTATTACGTTTTGAATATGGATATTTTTCTTACAAAAATGCATCGATTCGCTACAGAAGGCCTTTTTTCACCCACCGGAGTCATTTGAGACACTCTTTTTATTTCTCTTCTTTTGGACTGATGCATGCAACACCCGCTGAGTGGCATTAAACAGCTTGAAAGATCAAAGACAACTTTTAATATAACTCCCGACTGGATTCGTCTGAAAGAAGAAAGTCATATACACTTAGGATGACTTGATGGTGAGTAATTTATGGGCTAATTTTCATTTTTGGGTGAACTAACCCTTTAAGAGTACAATATTATAAATGTTTTGCTGTTATATTGTGTAACCGAAGGGAAACCGCACTGATAAACCTCAGTCCTCTGAGGAAAACGCTTCTGTCTATGGCTGATGTGAAACCAGATTAACCACATGACGTCTGATGTGTGCATCACTTTGATCAGGTTCACCATGCGCTACAAGAGTTAAAGTGCCACTATTATGGATTTTTTTAAATTACCTTTCATGCAGTGTGTAGCACAGCTCTAAGTGAATGAAAATGTATAATGTTATTGTCTCTCAAAAGAAAGTGTCGAATCTGAATCATTGAAACGAGTCGTTTTTAAAACGAATCCCAAGCCGTTTCATGTTGAAGTCAACATGAAACATTAGCATATTGCCCGCCCACTTGCTGGTCTTTTCGCGTTGGTCTGAATGAAAATGCAATTCATTCTTTGCCACTAGGTGCCACTTTTGGAGCGGTAAAAATAGCAGTTTCCCCGGTAACGTTGTACACAAAGCAGCACTGCGCTCACAAACGCTGCTTTATAAGGCATTACAGGCATGATGAAATGAAAATGAGACCAATCAGACCAATCACCGCAGATTAGCGTCACACAAAGTAGGGGTTTGGAAAAATGATTCGTTAAACGAATCGTTTGGGAGTCGTTGAGCAAATAAGGTAAAAATAAATGCATATTATAAGACAATGAAAGTGTTTTTTTGACCTTGCATGCATGTCAACCTGTTGTTGGGGACTCCCAAAACCAAAATATGAACCTTTCATTACCCATAATAGGGACACTTTAAAATGTGTCTCCACAAATGTTTAAACCAATCGCTTTTCTCCAAAATATCTCATTCTATGTAATCATTGAGGGCACTGTTGCATCATGGGTAGTGTAGTTTGTCTGCTTACTAGTGTTTAGCTGATCGAGTTGAACTGCAGTACTTCCTGTTCTTGTTGTTTCACTCTCTTTTTGAGGAGTCAATGACAGAGAGAAAAACAAGTAAATGTGAATGTGCTGCTCATGTGGTAAGAACATGAACACACAGAAATGAAGCACTACATGTACACACACAAACCATTCATATTAATTTGTGAATATGAATAGAAGTTGTATTTTCTATTGAAGACACTTTCTTATCTAAAGCAGTATAAATGTACATTATAAATATATTATTATATATATTATATATGACAAGGAAGCAAATATCTGACTGAACCTTCAGCCTTCAACACAGATGTGGATTTCAGACCCTGCATGTAGAGTAAGACATTAAACACACATCTAATCTGAAAGGAATCATCTAATATATAGAAATGTATTCAAGTATATTTATAAGCACACTATTTGAATATTCAAGAATAAGAGTCATATGCAGTGACAGACAGATGGACTGACCTGCTGATTTGTGTTGATCTGTGATGGTTTCTTTTCTTTCTGTGATTATGATGCTGCTGGATCGTGGATTTGGTTCTGTTGTGCTGAAATATGACGGTGTGTTTGTAAAAGTGTTGATAGTTGAAAATGTAGTGGTCTTCTTCACTGATCAGTGACAGGAAAGATCAACTTTTAAATACATATAATCGTTCATGTAATCTCTGGTTTAATGATGTATTTTATACCAAACACACTCAAGCCTAGCAGACAATCAACTCAACAGTATATGAGTCGAGACTTACTAGATTTAATGACTTGGTCACTCACTCACACTTTCTAATAAACGTAATCACTTACTCTGTTTAACAATCAACAAAACCTCTGAATAGACATCAGTTAAAGTCCTCTCCACAGCACACCAGTATAGTCCTGTATCCTCTGTTCTCAGATCAGTGATGCTGACGGTGAAAACTCTGGTCCTCTTGTTGTCAGTCAGAGAGAATCTCTTGTCTTTAGCTGGAGATCCTGATTTAACCATGATGATTTTATTTCTATAGTTACACTTGCCTTTACAAAAATACTTTGAATTTGATTCATATCCAGATTCATAGCTGCATCTGATGTCAACTCTCTCTCCTCTGTGTCCTGTGACTGTTTTTGAAGAAACTACAACTACTAAAAACAGAAATATCATTATACAGAGATATATGTGATAAAGACACATTAACAGACCAGAATAATAAGGTACAAATATAATCCATACGAGACAAATCATCATCATGCAGTAATAAAAAACAAAACAAAACAAAAAAACACATGAAAACATGTTAAACTCTGTACAAAAGACCTCAGAGTCTTGAACTCACCTGTAGAGATGCTGGAAAAGACGAGCAGAACGACACACATGCTGAACATTTTACTGAAATATGAGACCAAATTCTGTGACAAACGTTACAGTCTTTCTCTTCCTTATTAAGAGAGAAATGCAGCTTCATTTTTCCTTCCGCTTTCTGTCTCTCTAACCACATCCAGCTTTACACGACATCTTCACAATGACACTGATCTAAACAGCACACTACTTACATGCTATTTTTTATCAAAATCAAGATTTTAGGTTCTGTAACTGGTCTCAGTTTAAGTTAACCTTCAGTAGTTTTGTTCATTTTTCACCATTCACCATAAGTTTGCAGCTGATTTCAGTCAAACATAAGTCATCTGGTCATTGATCATTTCTTACATAATAAGAGTCAGAGGTGTGTGTCGAAGCTGTGTATTATCACACATCACCTGTAGCTCTCTGAACTGCACGCTTAGGGCAAACAAAATACTAATTTACATTTTTATTGGACTAATTGAACTGTGGATGAGGTGTACTATTTACAAAGAATCACACCATTTTCACATCATTTTTTATTTTCACAAGTTTGCATCATTTTTTTTTTGTAACTTTTCTTGTTAGTAACATTATACACTTAATAAAAACTCAGAAAACTGTCGAGATATTAATTCATTAAAAATATGTTGCTTGTACCACCATTTTTTTTTTTCACTTTGAGCATCAGTGCAGATGTCTGTGGAAGAACTTTTGAAAGTCTTGTTTTATTATTTATGTTTGATCATTGAATATATCGGGCCGTCGTTTGTCTTGACGTTTTGCGGATGTGTCGCTGTTGAGTAGATGAGTTCTGTTCTGTTGTCCGGTGTTGTTTCAGGCGGCTTCATGCTGGCATAATAATCACAGTCTGTATCCGTCACCTGATTGGTTGAGTGGATGTGACTGGGGTTTGAATCAGGCTGCTGATTGGTTACTGTGGCATAAACAGCAGAGACTTGTGGGCGGGTGTTTAGGTCTGATGCAGGCATCTGATTGGACGAAGATGCTGAGGTGATGACATCACTGTTTGGAATCTCCTCATACATAAGCTCAGTCTGAAAAACAACAACAATTATTTACTAGTTCATATAGATAGTATTCATTGCTCATCAATAAACAATAATGTAACATGTATTTCTATACTTCTACAGGTAAAGATTTGATCACCCACCTCCGTATTGTGCTGCATACTTTGCTGAAATAAAGCTGAAAGGTGCATGAAAAGAGAGAACAGATTTAGTCAAACCTACTCCAAAAGGACTTTATAATGACAAATAAACGGGTACCTGTCCCAGCTTTCCTCTTCCTCTTTTTCAGGACGAGGAACATTCCAGAACACAGAACCAGAACCAGCAGAACCGAACCCAGACCGCCAGCGACAGAAGACAGATCTGAACACAACATTAAACACAAAACAACACAGCACTGATTCTGATTATACTGTTGAATAAACAATAACAATCTTAATATTTACATAAATGACTTTGATTAGTGCAATATTCAACATTCTAAAATATTGGAAATGTGTTGCTGTTATATTGTGTAACCGAAGGGAAACCGCACTGGTAAACCTCAGTCCTCTGAGGAAAACGCTTCTGTCTATGGCTGATGTGAAACCAGATTAACCACATGACGTCTGATGTGTGCATCACTTTGATCAGGTTCATGATGAGCTAAAATGTGTCTCAACAAATGTTTAGTCCAATTGCTTTTCTCCAAAATATACCACATAATCAAACAGGGGACTGTTGCATTGTGGGTAGTGTAGTTTGTGTGCTCACTAGTGTTTGGCTGATTGAGTTGAACCGCAGTACTTCCTGTCATTCTTCTTGTCTTTTCACGTTCTGTTTGAGGTGTCACTGACAGAGAGAGAGAGAGAGAGAGAGAAGTGAAATGTGAATGTGCTGCTCACAATTAATAATGATACTTTGGATAAATGTGTCTGTCAGATCAGCATCAGCATGAATGCAGATGTTAAGACACCATGGAAAACCCATGTAATGTAATGCTGTGCTCACTCACAAATTATCTAATTATGAAATTATTTTATTTTGAGCCGTTCACAGTCTCATAAACTGTAGAACTGTAGAACCACTGGTTGTAATAAAATGATATATCAAGCATTCAGTTATTTGACATTTGACTCAATATTGCAGGTGTTGAGGCCACATGCCATATTAGTTTATATTTTAAAGTTGAGGTGTTGATAAAATTTAGAGTTTCCAAGTTTGAGCCATGAACTATCATTCTTCTTGTCTTTTCACGTTCTGTTTGAGGTGTCACTGACAGAGAGAGAGAGAGAGAGAGAGAGAAGTGAAATGTGAATGTGCTGCTCACAATTAATAATGATACTTTGGATAAATGTGTCTGTCAGATCAGCATCAGCATGAATGCAGATGTTAAGACACCATGGAAAACCCATGTAATGTAATGCTGTGCTCATGTCCAAATTATCTAATTATGAAATTATTTTATTTTGAGCCGTTCACAGTCTCATAAACTGTAGAACTGTAGAACCACTGGTTGTAATAAAATGATATATCAAGCATTCAGTTATTTGACATTTGACTCAATATTGCAGGTGTTGAGGCCACATGCCATATTAGTTTATATTTTAAAGTTGAGGTGTTGATAAAATTTAGAGTTTCCAAGTTTGAGCCATGAACTGTCTGGTCAGAACTTGTTGAAAACTTATAAATTATGGTAATTGCTCCACTATCATGAATGCAGCATTAAACATGTGTTCAGAAGCTTTGATGCCTCTGTATTCAAGATAATAAGAGTAACTATTAATGATTTGATTGAAATTATGACTTAAATTATTTATGTAAAAACAGTGACTACATATTAGCAATAGTTTTTACAAAAATGCATGTGTGTAAAGGTGTCTGAAGGCGAAGTGTGTGTGTGTGTGTGTGTGTGTGTGTGTGTATGTG